CTCTACGGACTACAGCGACGCCGACTCACAGGGAGAGGACGGAGAGAGCGCCGCGAGTAGCGACGCGATTCTTCCGGTGGCGATTCAGGAGGAGAGAGACGAGAGAGGGTGGGTTTGGGAAAATGAGGTGGGTTTGGTAATTAATTAGGGATTGAAATGTATATATTTATTTTATAAAAATATTAATTAAAATAAAATATCTGATTTTGAAAATGTGAAACTTCAAATTTGATTTTGGAAATGTTGATACATAAAGCAATGTTTTGTGTAATTACCACTAAAAGTAAATAGTTGGTTATATGTAATTATCCCTATTAATTATAGGGCAGCCCACAATCAGTTAGCCCATTTATTATACTTCTATGGGCCAAGATTGATCCATTTCACCTCCATCTTCAACGCCGATAAAACGACCCATTGAAAAGATAAAACGATGACGTTTTCGTGTTTTAGCTTTTCATATATTAATTGAAGTTGACCCAATACTCAACACACAGCGAGTAGAGAATTTTCGTCTCCTCTCTTTTGAAGGTTCCGATTTTCTTCCCGTTTTCCTTTTTTAATCTATTTTTTCGTTGATTTATTTTTTTTTCTTGACCGATCTCTGCGTTATATCTGCAATTATATGTTCTGTATACGGTTCTGATTATTGTTTTTCGATTGTGCTTGACCTGATCGATTTTTATATTGCAGTTCCATCTGTTAGGGTTCTGTTACTATTTTGTTTGTAAGTCTTATGAGAAATGAAGAGCAATTGCACTGTTTATATTTATTGTTGGGCCTTAATTGAGAATTTATGGTTAAGCAAGTGAAACATTTTGTTATTGGTAATTTGTTACTCATATTCAACTCAGAGGGCTTGATTCTCTATTGAAATGGTCAAGTCTTTTCATTGGTTTTGTTTTAAATTTTCCTATAAAGGGGATGTTGGTACTTCATTCGTCAAGTGGGTATGAGAAACCAATGAATTTGCCTATTGAACGTGTACTCGTATTTTTAAAGATTTTGGTCAGTAGCATTGGGCTTTAATTTGACATAAAAATCTTTACGAACACGATATTCAAGTTTAGATCCTGGATTGGGGAGAGTGAAATTTAAATGTTATTTGCAAATGTAGTAATTTCACCAGAACTGAAGGGGAAAAAATTTATAACTATGAAATTCCTCCCTTGATTGATATAGTCGTCGTGATTATGTTTTCCTTTGCAATGAAACATGATTAAAGGTTTTCTTTGTGCTTTGCTTCACCTCAACTTGCTGAAAATTCGATATCTATCTGGAAGGCAAGAATGATAAAGAAAAATTGACCATACTCTCCTGTCAAATTCACAAAATGTTCAATTAAACTTCTTTCATTTAAATCTCTTGGTCGCCATTGTCTAGTATTGTGCTGTGCTTGCTACTTCTTTCAAACGAAATACTGATGATTTAAATCTCTTTTGTTTTTTGTGTTCTCTTTATTGATTGCTCTAAACTTATTAATTACTTGTACTTGTGCTCAACTACGTTATCATCCGGCCTCTAGTAAGTTGTCTAGGACTTCAAGTCCAGGACAACAGCTTTTACATGAACACCCTTTCCCCTGTAGAATTTGACAGTATATTTTGTTGAAATTTTTGACATTGAGCAGCATCCCAGTTTGCACAATCTTGTAGGAGTAAAGGGAGGAAGTAGCAAACTAATTTTGGAGGAGCAGTTACCCTAAAATTCCGTATTTACTGTGAGATCAGACATGCCTGGACAAAAGATTGAAACTGGTCACCAAGATGTTGTTCATGATGTGGTGATGGATTATTATGGTAAACGGCTAGCTACAGCTTCTTCAGACAACACCATCAAGATAATTGGAGTTAGCAACTCAGGATCTCAACACCTTGCAACTTTGACTGGTCACCAAGGACCAGTTTGGCAAGTAGCATGGGCTCATCCTAAGTTTGGATCCCTCCTTGCTTCTTGTTCTTATGATGGGAAAGTCATAATCTGGAAAGAAAGCAACCAGAATGAGTGGATCCAGGCTCATGTTTTTGATGATCATAAAGCATCTGTCAATTCCATTGCCTGGGCTCCTCATGAACTGGGTCTTTGTCTGGCTTGCGGGTCTTCAGATGGGAACATCTCAGTCTTTACCGAAAGAACTGATGGAGGATGGGACAAATCACGAATTGATCAGGCTCATCCAGTTGGTGTAACCTCGGTTTCATGGGCCCCATCAATTGCCCCTGGTGCTCTTGTAGGTTCTGGTATACTTGATCCTGTTCAGAAGCTTGCATCTGGTGGCTGTGATAATACAGTGAAAGTCTGGAAGTTTGATAATGGAATTTGGAGGATGGACTGCTTCCCAGCTCTTCAAATGCATACTGATTGGGTGAGGGATGTTGCTTGGGCACCGAACCTGGGACTTCCTAAGTCTACAATTGCTAGTGCTTCTCAAGACGGAAGAGTTATAATATGGACTGCAGCCAAGGAAGGTGACCAATGGGCTGGTAAGGTTTTGCAGGATTTCGGGGCTCCTGTTTGGAGGGTGTCCTGGTCGCTTACGGGAAACATACTTGCAGTTGCTGATGGAAAAAACAGTGTAACGTTGTGGAAAGAATCCGTAGACGGAGAGTGGCAGCAGGTTACAACTGTTGAGCCATAAACCTAATTGATCTTTCATTATTTTTTTTCCTAATACCGGTCTGTCTCTGTTTTCTATAAACTCTTCCACCCCCACCCCACCTTGACTCGTTTCAGTAGAGCAAATTGAACTTAGGAAGTCCTTAGTGGCTCCACTTTTAAAGTCCATGCAAGACGTGATTGTTTCCTAATGTTGCTGCAGATTACTTTGACTAATTTTATTTCTTGAAATGCTAATCTTGATATTTGGTTATGTTCTTTGTTGTGATGCTGAAAATGTATAATTATCTGATATGGTGTTATTTAGTTAGGTCTTTAATCTCAGCTGTTGACGTGTTACCATCACACGATGTCCTTTACATGGTTGGCTCATATAGTGTCTTCAATTATGGATCGAACAGTTCAAGATTTAATGTTCTTCAGCCGAAGTATATACACCTTATTGCCAGGTGTAGCTCAGTCGAGACTCAGGGTATGCCTATGCANTGCCAGGTGTAGCTCAGTCGAGACTCAGGGTATGCCTATGCAACCGTCCCTAACATGCTCTTGAAATTTATGCATATTCATCGATAAAATGCGATTCGACCCTTTTCCTATTTATCTGCATATTTGCCTCCAATTATTACTACAGTACGCTTACGCTTGTTTGAAGGTTGCAAAAGGCCTGGAATGAACAGCCTGTCAAGATGGGCTGGGACAAACAATGACGGTCCAACAGAATATTAGGAGCAAAATTTTCTCCATTTTTTTACAATTTAGCCCTCGTTTGACACATTCTTTTGAAGAAATTACATCCATTCTTATGTTTTAAGAACCAATTTCAAAAATCATGTCCAAAGTTTGTTCATTCAAAATCAGGTTATAATTAAAAAATTTAATATTAATAATTATATTACAAAATAAAATTAATCATTTACCTATTTTCTTTACTCTCTCTCATTCTCTCTCTTCCACTCCGATGAAATCGCACTTCGGCATCGGAGGCGTAGCCGCTGTTTTCTCGCAGCAGCAGTGTTGAGTTGTGTGGAGCCTGAGAAATCGCACTTCGGCATCGGAGGCGTAGCCGCTGTTGTCTCGCAGCAGCAGTATAGTACTTCTGCCCACGGATGGGGCAGCTCTGCGTAGCGTGCCGCAGCGTCGCGACGACGCCTCTACGCGATCCATGGATTGAGCACGGTGCAGATTCGTTCTTCTTCTTCTTCTTCTTTTTTTTTGAGTGGTGCGGTTGAGGTGTGTGGTGTGGCGGTGGTGGAGGCGTGGGCTACAGAGGTGGGAATAAAGAGCTTTATGGGTGCGACAGTGGTGCTGTGGGTGCAGTGCGGTGGTTGGGTGTGCGCGCGCGTGCGTGTAGAGGTGGTGGTCGTGGTTATTTTTGTGTTGTGGTCGGGATTTGCTGTGAGTCATGTTTAGGATTTGCACCGCCATGATCTGGTGTAGGACGGTGGTGGGCTGAGCATCATGGTCGGGATTTGCACCGCCGAGTTCAACTGTGGGATTTTTAGGTTGTGTTTTTAGTTAGTGGATGTGGGCTGTGGTGGTGGTGTTGTTTGGGTAGCGACTATTATGTTGGATTTGGTGGTGGATCTGGCGGCGGTGGTGGTAGGGGCTCTAGGGACCTTGGCAGTGAACGTCATTTGGCTGGCAATTGGCGCTACGGTGATGTTGGTGCGGTGGTGGGTTACGATGGTAGTACAAGTCGTGATGGTGGTGCTATAAGTGGTGGTGGTAAGGTTTTTGGGTGGTAGTGGGTGGGTTGTGGTGTTGGGGGTTCTGGCGACAGTGGTTTGGGTTGTTGTAACGGTATGGTGGTGGTTACAAGTGATTTGGTTGATTGTGACCAATAAATTGGTTGATGTGTGACAAATAAACTACATGTGACCAATGAAATAGATAAATTGTGACTAATAAATACTGTGTGACCTAAAAATTTATTAATTTGTGACTAATAATTTGATAAATTGTAACCTAAATATAATTTGATGTTTTGTGTGACCACAAAATAAGTCGTGACTCATAAGATTTTTTGATCTGTGACCAACGAACAAATTGTGACCTATTAAATTTTTGAATTGTGACCGTAAAATAATTTATGACATATAAAAATTGTTATTTGTGACCAATTAATAATATGTGACCAATTATATGGAATTTGTGACCGTAATGTATTTAATAAATAAAATATATGTTTAATTAATTAAATTATAAATAAAATTTAAAAAAACTTGAGATTTGAAATTTTAAATTTAATTTCTTAAATTTGAAATTGATGAAACTTAATCCCTTATTTATGAAATCTTCCCAATTCTTTTCTCATTCTTATTCTCATTTTTTTTCTTTCTTCATTTCAATGACGCATTCTATCAATAAAATAGTATTACACATAAATCTAAAAATTTTCCTTACTTTTTAATCACACATTCTTCCATCAATCACTATTTCAAAATATATTCTTTCTCCAAAATGAAGGCGTGTTCAGTAGATATTAAAATCAGATTAAAATTGAAAAATTAGCTATTATTGTTGACTTTTATTAAACGAGTGGGACCCAATAACGATCATATTTTCAATTTTAATTAAATTTTAAGCCATACCAAACATGCTCTGAGCACAAGCATAATCACTTCTTTTTTGAATAGTAATTGTTTTACATCAATCGCACACAATCTAGCCCTTGTTTGTGCTACATTAAAATGATTTTTTTTTGGGGGGAAATGTGTGTTGAAATATTGATTTTTTGGAAAATATGTGGTTAAAAAATAAGAATTTTTTTTTGAATTTACGTGTATCATTATTTTATGAGAGACCGTGTGATTGAAAATAAATTTTGAAAAAAAAAATGCACTTTTTGAGAAATGGTGCCCAAACAAGGGCCTAGTAAAGGGAAAAGTTCACATCTCAGGTTTTATATATCTTAAAATAAAAAATCAGGCTCCAATGTTTAAATTTACAAAATTCAGGTTT